TAATAATAATAATAATAATAATAATAATAATAATAATAATAATAATAATAATAATAATAATATTCTTATTATTATAAATAAATATATAATAATAACAATAATAATAAAAGAAATATATTAATCTCTTTAATATAATAATAAAGACAACAAAGAAGGGACAGCAAAACAAAGGAGACAGTAGAAAAAACAAAAAAAAGAAGATAAAAGAGAGACAGAAGAAAAACAGAGAGGAGACAGATAAATAAAAACAGAGAGACGAAAGATAAATTAAAAGATAAAGGAGACAGCAAGAGTTAAGAGGGTTTAAAAAGAAGAAGAATAAGAGTAAGAGACAGAAGCAAACAAAAAGAAGAAAGAAAAATATGAAGAGGGGACAGATAGAGACAGACATAAACAAGCAAAAGCATAAGTAGATAAAGGAGACAAACAAGCAGAGCTCAAACAAAACATAATTAATTAAATTAATTAAATTAATTAAATTAATTAAATTAATTAAATTAAACTTACCAGCCTTAGGGGGCAGCGGCTCGCTCTTAGCAAAACGGCAGCGACCCCCAGCGTCTTTAAACCCTCCGGCTCCACCTGCAGCAGCAGCAGCAGCAGCAGCAGCAGCAGCATAAGCAGCAGCAGCACAAGCAGCAGCAGCAGGAACAGAAACAGCAGCAGGAAAAAATGTTGCAGCAGCAGAAGCAGTAGCAGCAGCAGAAGCAGCAAGCAGCAAAAACAGAAACAGCAGCAGGAGGATTAGAAGCAACAGCAGTAGCAGCAGTAGCAGCAGCAGAAGCAAAAGAAGCAGCAGCAACAGAAGAAGCAGCAGGAGCAGGTGCCGTAGCAGCAGCACGAGCAGAAGCAGCAGCAGCAGCAGGAACAACAGCAGCAGCAGCAACAGAAACAGGAGCAGAAGCAGCATCATGCGAGGTGTGTAGAGGCCTCTTGTGTGTTAAACTGCCTGTGGACAGAATTAATATATTGCAGTTTGCTGCTAGAGAGGTGCTTGTCTTCTAGCAGCAGCAACAGCAGCAAGGGCGTGAACAAGCAGCGGCAGCAACATCAGGTGAAGCGAAGCAGCAAAGCAGCAGCACCTAAATGGGAGCGTTCTCCGTGTAACAGCAGCAGCAGCAGCAGCAGCAGCAGCAGCAAGAGGTAGAGTAGGAGCAGCAGCAGCAAAAAGGAAGCAGCAATATTCCTACAACCTCCACTAGCAACAGCAGCAGCAACAGCAGCAGCGACAACAGCAGCAGCAGCAACAACAACAATAACAGCAGCAGCAGCAACAACAACAGCAGCAGCAATAGCAGCAGCGTCTCTGCCGGCCAGTGTATCACCCTTAGCCGCTACAGCAGCATCACTCCAACAGGCATAATGCCCAGCAGCAGCAGCAGCAGCAGCAGTAGCAGCAGCAGCAGCAGCGCAACAACTTCAGCGGGTTTCATACCCAGCAGCAACAGCAACAGTAGTAGCAACAACAACAGCAGCGGCAGTAGCAGCAACAGCAGCAGCAGCAGCTTGGTTAGCATAGTATTGTAGCACCTTTAAGACTATTTCTTGCTGCCGTTTCTTGTTCATTAAAGAAAGTAATGGGTGTAATAGATCCTCTGCAGCGCCTGCTGCTGCTGTTGCTGCTGCTGCTGCTGCTGCTGCTGCTGCTGCTGCTACTAGGGTTTGTCTTAGGGAAGTCTCCAAAGGGAGACTCTTTATTTCTCGGGAGGAGACCCATGGCTCTCTCTTCTTTTTTATAATTTATATTTATTAAGCGCTGTAAGGCGTCGCGCTCGTGCAGCTGTCTGCAGCTGCTGGGGAGGGTAGACATTGTTGCTGCTGCTGAGCTGTATATACACCTCAATAAGAATTAATAATAACAAAAACAGAAGCAGTTCTAATAATTTAATTAAAGATTTCAGACGATAACGATCACACTACCATCAGGAGGCGCATGCAAAGCCCCGCTGCTGCTGCAGCGCTGCTGCTCCCGCTGCTGCTGCTGCTGCTGCTGCTAGTGTAGCAGCAGGCTGGGTAGAGAGAGCAGTAGAACGGCTGCTGATGTAGCAGATTTTAAAGAGAATTATTTTCTTATTTCCTTGAAATAATCCTCTTTAATTGCTTTAATAGCTGCTGGCGCAGCAGCAGCAGCAACAGCAGCAGCAGCAGCCGCAACAGCAGCAGCAGCGGCAGCAGCGGCTACTACCCCAGCCCCGCAAGGCGGGGTGCAGCAGCAACAGCAGCAGCAGCAGCCGATGCCTGTGTGGCTTCTGTATGGGAAAGAGTTGCTGCTGCTTAAAGGTAGCACAAGGGGATTGTTTTGTTGCTGCAGAGACAGCTGAGATATTCTTTTTTACCGCAGCAGCAGCAGCAGCAGCAGCAAGAAGATGGGGCGCGTCATTCGCTGTAAGCCTCTGCGGCCCCCCACAGCTCTTCCTGTTGCTTCTTTTTGTTGTTTTGTTTGCTGCATGATATATTATATATTTATATTTACTTTCTTTTTCTTTGTCTACCTTCTGCTGTGTAGCAGCAACGAAGGCAAATCCCTGAAACAGCAGCAGCAGCAGCAGCAGCAGCCAGCAGCAGCAGAAGCAGCAAGACTGAAGAGAGCTTTGTAGAGTTTGTTTGTTTCATGTTCCTGCTGTTTCTGCTGCAGTTGCTGCTGTTTATGCCTGCACTTAGCTGTACTCATTGCTGCTGCTGCTGCTGCTGCTGTTTGCTGCAGCACAACGTAAGGGTCGCGGGTCTGTCTTCAAGGCACACACCCACAAGAGAAAAGGAGCAGCAAAGCTCCGCGCCCTCGACTATGCGGAAAGAAATGGCTATATCAAAGGTAACACTGCAGCAGCAGCAGCAGCAGCAGCAGCAGCAAGTTGCTGCTGCAGCACCTAAGGGCCCACCCCCCTTACCGTGTAGGTAGCATTGTATGCAGTCTGTCTCTTTCAACTTCCTCATTCTTCTTCTGCTGCTGCTTCTGTTGCTGCTGCTGCTGCTCCCATTGCTGCTGCTGCTTTCCTGCTGCTGCTGCTGCTGCTGCTGCTGCTGCAGGTTTGGTGACTTCAATTGAGCATGACCCCGGGCGAGGGGCACCGCTAGCTGTTGTCTCCTTTCGCGATGCATATCGCTACAGAATTAACAAAGAAAGAATGCTGGCTGTGGAGGGGCTTCATACAGGGCAGTTCATTCACTGCGGAAAGAAAGGTACTGCTGCTGCTGCTGCTGTTGCTGGTGCTGCTGCTCGGGTTGTTGTTGCTGCTGCTGCTGCGGTTTTTGTTGCTGTTGCTGCTGCTGCTGCTGCAGTATTGCCCTTCTGCTGTTCTTTTCTTCGTATTCTTTTCTTATCCTCATCCTCTTCAGTTTGTTCTGTCGCTCTCTATCTCTCGCTCTTTGCTCTCTGCTCTTTAATGGTTTAGGGTTTAGGGTTTAGGGTTTAGGGTTTATTGATTATCCTGCTCTATCAGCTCGTTCCCTACCCAGCTACCGCCACCGCAGCTAGCTAGCTAGCTAGCTAGCTAGCTCTCTACATAGCTAGCACATGATTGAATACACATATAAACAAGCGCGTAGATAAATATCTATTTATATATATTTATATATATTTATATATTTATATTTGTTGTTTGTTTGCTGCAGCTGCACTCTGCATCGGCAATGTATTGCCCTTAGGCCGAGTGCCGGAGGGGACGGTGGTTTGTGCTGTCGAAGAAAAGGCAGGAGACAGAGGGACCCTCGCTAAGACCTCAGGCTCCTTCGCAACTGTTGTTGGTACTGCTGCTGCTCCTGCTGCTGCTGCTGCTGATCGTGCTGCTGCTGCTGCTCGTGATGCTGCTGCTGCTGCTCGTGATGCTGCTGAGGGTGCTGCTGCTCGTGATGCTGCTGAGGGTGCTGCTGCTCGTGATGCTGCTGCTGCTCGTGATGCTGCTGCTGCTCGTGCTGCTGCTGCTGCTGCTGCTGCTGCTCGTGATGCTTCTGAGGGCGATGCTGCTGAGGGTGTTGCTGCTGCTGTTGAGGGTGCTGCTGCTAGTTTTGCTGCTGAGGGTGCTGCTGCTACTGTTGCCTGCGCTGTCTCTTCGTGCTGCTGCTCTTTGCTGCTGCTGCTGCTGCTGATGGATGCAGTGTCTTTAAACCTTTGCTGCGCCAGTTGCTCTCTGTATATATAGTAATATATATAAAGTATATGTTGTATATATTATATATGTATATGCATGTATATACAGACAAATAATATGTACTATATATTCATATGCATAATATATAATATATATATAATATATATTATATTATATATACAATATATATATATTATATAATATATATTATATATATTATATAATACATATAATATATTTATTTATTTATATATAAATTCTTTTATCTGTTTTTACAGTACATTGATATTTCTAAGCTATTTTTTAACGCTGTTGCATCAAACCAAGCGAATAGACAGCCGAACAAATACAAATATATATAAATATATATAAATATATATTTATTTATATATTTATATATATTTATTTATTTATTTGTTTATTTTATAGGACACAGCGAGGAGACAGGAAAGTCTAGGGTTCGTCTGCCTTCGGGTGCTCGCAAAACCCTTCCTTCTTCAGCTCGCTGTATCATCGGTTTAGTTGCAGGAGGCGGTCGCATCGATAAACCCCTCTTAAAGGCTGGAAATGCTTATCACAAATATAAAGTAAGCACTAGGGTTTAGGGTTTAGGGTTTAGGGTTTACAGCTTACGGTTTAGGGTTTTAGGGTCTAGGGTCTAGGGTTTATATACACCGTTTAGGGCTTAGGGTTTAGGGTTTATTTTTAGGGTTTAGGGTTTATATAGGCATGCCTTTAGCTGGCGCTGTCTTGATTATCGTAAGGATATATATATATATGTATATATATATATATATTTAGTTGCATTTCGTATTAGGGTTTATGTATTGTACATCGGGTTCCTAGTGGTTATAGAGGTTTAGGGTTTATTAGGGTTTGCAAAGGTTTAGGGTTTAGAGTTTAGGGTAGTATCGCAGGGTTTACGGGGGTTTGTGGTTCTTGAGGGTTTATTAGGGTTTAGGGTTTATTAGGGTTTATTAGGGTTTGGGGTTTATTAGGGTTTATTAGGGTTTATTAGGGTTTATTAGGGTTTAGGGTTTATTAGGGTTTAGGGTTTATTAGGGTTTAGGGTTTATGCAGACATATCGCATGATTTTTTTTTGTTTTTTCATATATACATCTGTATATGTATGTATAAATGTATGCATTCATTAGTATATATTAAAGCATATTGATTATATTAATTTATATTTATTTATTTATTTATATAGGCAAAGAGAAACTGCTGGCCGAAGGTGCGGGGTGTAGCGATGAACCCTGTAGAGCACCCGCACGGAGGAGGCAATCATCAGCACATTGGTCACCCTTCAACTGTCTCAAGACATGCACCTCCGGGTATTTAAATAATAATGCTTGTCTTTGCTTGTCTTTGCTTGTCTTTGCTTGTCTTTGTCTTCTTATGTTTTATTTGCTGCTTTTTATTTGCTCTCTTTATCTGTATTATTATACCGATGCTTCTTCGGGTGTATTAATTATAATGCATGCATCTTTTTGTGGGGTGTCTTTGCATATCTTCGGGTGTCTTGGGATGTCTTTAGTTTTTTGTCTTCATCTGTTTGTCTGTCTTTTATTTTATTTGTTTTTTGTTTTTGTTTGTCTTTTTGTTTTATTTGTCTGTCTTTCTTCGTTGTTAATTCATCATTGTATTGATGCGGATATGTACTGCAATATATTAACATACATATAATATATATATATATGTATATAATATATGTATATATATGGACGCTTTACTCCTCTTTGCTGCTGCTGCTGCTGCTGCTGCTGCTGCTGCTGCTGCTGCTGCTGCTGCTGCTGTTCAGGGCAAAAGGTGGGTCTTATTGCTGCTCGGCGCACGGGTCTGCTGCGCGGAGGAAGGAAGACGAAGCTTGCAGGCAAAGACAAGTGAGGAGTATAATCCTTCTGCTGCTGCTGCTGTTGCTGCAGCAGCAGCAACAACAGCAACAGCAGCAGCAGTGCAGCAACAAAGCCTTGAGGCCCGCAGCAGCAGCAACGCCGCTGCTGCTGCTGGAACTATCCTTTAATATTTAAGAAGGCACCTCATCTCTGTGGGCGTCCGCCTCTAGGGTTTAGGGTTTAGGGCTTAGGGTTTAGGGTTTCAGAAGGCAGGGTAGAAAAGAAGGGCTGGAGTATTAGAGGCATCTAGCAACCGGTGATTAGGGTTTAGGGTTTAGGGTTTAGGGTTTAGGTGATGCTCCCCTAGTCTATAATATATATATATTATATTATAATAAATAGCAAACTCTACTCTTCAACTCGTTCAACTCGCTGCTGCAGCGGTAGCAGCAGGAACCGCTGCTGCAGCGGTTCCTGCTGCTACTGCTGCTGCTGCAGCTACTACCGGAAAGGTACAAAGTAAATTTTTGCAGCAGCAGCAACGGCTGCTGCTGCTGCTGCTGCTGCTGCTGTTGCTGCTGATGCTAAGGCGGCTTCTGTACAGGGCTGAGGGGCCTCGCGTTCTTTGGGGGGCCCCCAGAGGACCTGCTGCCGCAGCAGCAGCAGCAGCAGCAGCAGCAGAGAGTGTTGCTGTTTGTTTGCTTCTCGTTTAGACAAAGAAGAGACAATAAGTGCTGCAGCAGAGGAGACAAAGCAGCAGCAAACAGCAACAGCCTCCACACAATGAAATTATAATAAACGAAGTATAGCTGCAGCCGCTGCTGCACTTGTAGGCAGCTGTCTCTGTCTCTCTTTATCTTTGTTTATCTGTCTGTCTCTGTCTGTTCCTCTCTTTATTTATCTGTCTCTCTCTGTCTCTCTGCAAGCATCTGCTCTTTAAAAAAATAATTTAATTGGGTGAACGCACAGCCGGCTGCTCTGCATGCAGAGACCGGACGGGCTGTTGCTCCTGCTGCTGCTGCTGCTGCTGCTGCTGCAGCTGCTGCTGCTGGAGGCAGCCGCAGCAGCTGGTGCTGCTGCAGATACATAGAGAGGGTCTGCTAAGATAGAGCAAGACAAATATTTTAATCTCTCTTTATTCTTAATACATTCTCTATAATAATAATAACAGTAATAATAAATATTAATAATAACAATTAATAATAATAATAATAATAAACAATAGTAATAATAATAATAATATTTTATGTAATATTAGTAATATACTCTTCTACTTTTTTTTGTTTATTCTTATTAACATGCCCTGACAAAATAATATATTTATATTAACAATATAATAATATTTTTATATTATTATCTTTTTCATTGTATTATATATTTAGAGGCCAAGCAGCAGGAAGAAGAGAAACAGCAGCAGCAGCAGCAGCAGCTGCTGCAGCAGCAGCGTTAACAACAAATCTTTTATATGTATTTCTTTGTTTTCTTGTCTTGTCTATTATTTATTTATTTTTTTTTATTTGTTTCTCTGATGAATGCATGCATATTTTTATATTCTCTGCTTTTGTTTATATTTTTATGTTCTTCTTTAAATTATTTATTATTTATATATTTCTTCTCTTTACTTCGTTTGTTTATTTGTATATACTATATATATATATATTTTATATTAATATATTTACATTTATTTTATATTTATTTATTTTTATTTATTTTATACTATTTATTTATTTATAGACATACGCCGCGTCTGAAAGCCAAAGACAAGAAGAAGTCTGTTATCTTCACACACTCTCTCCTCCTTGCAACAGCAGCAGCAGCAACAGCAACTGCAGCAGCAGCTGCTGCTGCTCTTGCAGCAGTAGCTGTTGCTGCTGCTCTTGCAGCAGTAGCTGCTGCTGCTGCTGCACTTGCAGCAGCAACTGCTGCTACTGCTCTTGCAACTGCTTCTGCTGCTGCTCTTGCAGCAGCAGCAGCAGCTGCTTTTGTTGCTGCATCTGTTGTTGCTGCTGCAGCTGCTCTTGCTGCTGCAGCTGCTCTTGCTGGTGGATCTGCTTTTGTTGCTGCATCTGCTTTTGCTGCTGCAGCTGCTCTTGCTGCTGCAGTCGCTTTTCATGCTGCTGTTACTGCTGCTGCTACTGCTGCTGCTGCTGCTGCTGCTGCTGCAGCAGCAGCAGGTATTCCCTAAAGGTCGGCTGTACATCCGCCTTCTTCGGTCCCACATAAACATCTGCATGCGCGGGGTTTAAAGGCTAACATCAATGCAGCAGCAGCAAATGCTGCTGCTGCTGCCTCTGCTGCTGCTGCCTCTGCTGCTGCTGCCTCTGCTGCTGCTGCAAGCTCTGCAGCAGCAGATAGAAGACAACTGCTGCTGCCCCACAGACGAATGATAGCACTGAGAGTAAACAGAAGACAGCCAGAGAGAAAAAGAAGAGTAAAGAAAGAAAAATAAAAAAAGAAGAATAAGAATAAAGAAAAAGAATAAAAGAGATAAAGAGAAGATAAAGAAATAAGAATAAGAATAAAGATAGAAGAGGATAAAGAAAAAGAATAAAAGAGATAAAGAGAAGAAAAAGAATAAAGAAATAAGAATATAGAAATAAGAAGAATGAAGAGAGAAGATAATAATAAAAGAAGAAAGCGCAATAAAAGGATAGAAAGAGAAGAATAAGAATAAAGAAATAAGAATATAGAAATAAGAAGAATGAAGAGAGAAGATAATAATAAAA